TTTTTTTTTTTTTTTTTTTTTTTTTTTTTTTTTTTTTTTTTTTTTTTTTTTTTTTTTTTTTTTTTTTTTTTTTTTTTTTTTTTTTTTTTTTTTTTTTTTTTTTTTTTTTTTGTATGGGTTCATAAATTACTCATCGCTCAGTTTCCAAAAATTTGAATGAGATTGACCTACTTGAACCAAATGGATCAATTACGTTTCAGTTGAATCAAACCAAATTTGTAACCTTTATTGCAATGGAAAGTCATGATAAAAAAAAAAAAAAAAAAAAGTTTGTGCTGCTCCCTCGTGATTCAAGCTCTTAGGTACGAATCACAAACCTCCACAATAGTATGATATTGTCCACTTTGAGCATAAGCTCTCGTGGCTTTTCTTTTGATTTCCCCAAAAGGTCTCATTATCATTGGAGATATATTCCTTACTTATGAACCCATGATCAACTCCTTGATTAACCGACGTGGGACTCCTCTCCCAACAATCCGCAACAAGTTCACCACATTCAAGAATCAACCATGAATAAAAATATGGCAGAGTAATTCAATTAATTGCAAGTGGGATAAACATTCAAGGATGGATGAAGTTTTGGGCACATTTCAACTCACAAGAGCTTGTAATTTTTGGCTCTCTTTCTCCTCAGACATAGCTTGTGAGGTTTCAACAAATGAAGCAGCTTCAAAAGGATTATTAACTCAAGCCCTGTTTGGAATACACATTTGTTGCTCACCTCTAGTGCGCTGCGTCTTCTTCCTCACAAAACTTTGTGTATTCTTTTGGACCAAACAAGGAATCTAATTCAGCTGGATTGCTTGGCTTCACTTTTATCATCCAACCTCCTTCATATGGACTTGAATTGATCTTCATTTCATGAACATATGGAACAAAATAAATCAATATGCTTCATTCATACTTAAAAGTTACTATTGTTTTTCAGCTTTCACATGATCCTCTGTCATATTTAATTGGATAATAAAAAGTGCAATATTAAATATTAGATGAACACGACTCACAACGGTATGATATTGTCCACTTTAAGCATAAGCTCTCATGGCTTTGCTTTGAGGTTCTTCAAAAGGTCTCATACTAATGGAGATAATATTCCTTGATTATAAACCCATGATCATTCCCTAAATTAGCCAATGTGGGACTTTCATCCACCAACACCTCCCCTCGAACAAAGTACACCTCCCCTTAATCGAGGCTCGACTCCTTTTCTTTTGGAGTCTTAGTCATTTTTTACTATGCCTTTGAGGAGCCTCGACTTCTTTTCTTTTGGAGTTATTTGTTCGACATTTGAGGATTTTATTGGCATGGCCAAATTTAGAGCATGAGTTTGATACCATGTTAGATGAACACGACTCTCCACAATGGTATGATATTGGCTTTGCTTTGGACTTCCCCAAAAGGTCAGGACGAAAAATATATATGGGGCTTAATTCCCCTTAAGGCTGGTCGTGAACGTGTCAAGATCACAACACCGCGCGGTAAAAAATGTAGGACCGTGAGCCGATGTGGGACGAGATTAAGCACTTAAAACAGTTTTATCAGCCAAATTCAGAGTCCAAAGAATAGGCAAAAAGATGTGAGCATTCGAAATTACCAAACCAGGTGAATCCTTCAGCTGTGGATTAACTTCAACAATCTCACCAGAGATTGGGGAGTTGATATCACTGGTTGCTTTTACACTCTCCACTGCTCCAAAGCTCTTACCTTGAGAAACCGGAGCTCCTGATTCTGGCAGATCCACGAACACCACTTCTCCCAGATGGTCCTGTAGAGATGCATCAAACAAAACGCTTCCAATCCAAGTTTGAATTTCAAGTATAAACCCAAATTTTCTATAGTGGACTGATATACAAGATGTTAAAATAAAAGTTTGAATCAGTTTCCATTGTTTTGAGTAGCAGCAACAGGAATGTTAAGTATCAAGTTGTCATATGCACGCATAATTTAGGTTAAATTATATGTTTGGTATCTAAACTTTTACCACTGTTTCTCCTTCGTAGTTGTATTATAAAAGTTTTTAATAGGTCTCAACACTTTCACAATGAGGTCCTGCGTTAACTTCATTTAACACTAACATGACATGTCCTCCGTGGTTGATTTTCAATGCAACCTTTATAATCTATCTAGACAATAACTCAACAAGTAAATGATATAAACTCATTACACACAAATTTGAAAGTTCAGTAAGTTATTAGGAATTCAGTTATGAAAATGTATGAATAAGAATGAGATTAAATAGACAGTGTCCTAAAAGTTCGTGAACCAAACTTAAGAGTTTAATCTAAAATTCAGGGAAACAAAAGTTAGAATATTGGCGTTTAGAAATGAAAAGCACCTGAGCATGGTCAGTGATGCCAATGGTAGCAACAGGGCCCTCATGTTTCACCCACTCATGTGAAGAAGCATACTTCAGTCCGTCCAAAACTGCAAATCCAACCAACATCTTTTGTCTTACCCAGATAAGAAATTAAACATAATTGAGAATCAAACAAGATCAAACAATGGAAGTGGGATCCAACAGTACATTAAAAAAAAAGAAAAGCAAAGTCAAAGTTCACAGACGCATTTACACAAACAGCTTGCAGGCAAGGAAAGAAATAGTAAAAAATACCCGTAGAAAAGCATCTGGAGATAGAAAATGGAGGAGAGAGAAGGGTTTTGGATGAAGAAGAGAGTCTGAGAGCATTAGCAGTAGAAGAAGCCCACATTCTGAGAGCCATAGTTTTGTTGTTTATTTTGGGTCTGTTCTTCTTGTTCTTGTTCCTGTTCTTCCTCTGCTTTGGTATGCTATCAGCTATCAGCAATCAGCAAAGAAATGAAAGGAAGTTTTGAAAACTTAAGTTTTACGACATTGTTGGTTTATCTTCGACGGATGGTGGGCAGTGAGTGCCTCATCATCTCATCTAAACACTGCCTTTTTATTTCTTCCAGTGAAATTCCCACTTTTTCCTTCCATATCCTCATCTCAACAGTTATGGCCTGACAATGACCTCTGCTGCTAATCCTTTCTTAGCTATGATATTAAATTTCCATCATCATTTTTAGCTTATTTAAGCTTAAATATTAAATAAAAGTTTTCAGGTGTTATATCTAAATTTGCTCTCTAATTTTAACACAAACGTTCAAATATTAATTCTAGTTCAGTAAAGTTTTACTTCAAAAATAAAATAATACAATATTTCAAATGTAAATGTTTCGAGCGATTGTATCGATCCATATGTGTGAGATCCACCCAATGGATTCCCCCACCTTCCTCCAATATATGCTATCAGTTCATCCGTAACATGTTAATAAATATTTATGATGGATACACTTTTTTTTCTTTGTCAATTAATATATAATTTTTACGATAATTATTCATATAAGTAGCATAGTGAGTTGGAGGTCAATAATAATTATTTATATAATATTGTGGAAATATAGTAAACAATTATTTTTTTTAAGGGAAAAAGAAATTACAATACGTGTCCATAACATATTATTGGGAAACATGTAATGATGATATGTCAAAAGCTTCGTACAAAAAGTATATCCTATAAATATATAATATGATATAATATACAATATAAATATAAATTCATGGAATATGCCCAATATGTTCTCATTATAATTTATTAAATACTAGGTGATTACACAATTTTGTAACTCGGCCACCCTTACAAATGTGACTAAATTTTTGTATACTTCGACATATTTTTGATACTCATCTTATTTTAGTTTCTTCATTATGGAACGTCAATATTCCTATAACTATAGTAAAGTTTAAGAATAGTCGTCGTTGTAAGCTTAAAATTAATAACAAAAATTTTCATTTAAGAAAAAATACTATAAATATATTTTCAAAATTTATGGAGTAGAGTAATCCAAACTATTTTATTTTGAGTCGAGTTAACCTTAAATTAATAGTCGCGAGATTTATTAAAAATAAATATACAAAAATAATATTTTAATGGGTGTATCAATATACAGATGGATGTATTTATTTGCATATTTAAACCAAACCCATCGGTTCTTTTAGGGTTTGGATGAATGGGTTTTTGTTCTTTAAGCTTTGTTGAGTTGATAAGGCAATGATATATAAAAATGTGTATGAACCATACCCATCCTTTTGCATATATATATATATATATATATATATATATCTTGGTTGGGGATGGCCTAATTTTTATATATATAATGTTTTATCGCTTTTTTTTTTCTTTCAACTTTTAGGTTTGATTATGAGTATGACAAGATCTCTCGTGTATTTTTTTTTTAAATTAAAAGAAAAAAAGAAGGATGAAAACAATTTGATGATGAGTTGATGAGTTGAGTTTTTACTTCATTATCAAATTACTATCAATGGCTTTTTTATTTTTATTTTTATTGTAAAAGTAGAGAACATTTGTTAATAAGTTAATAAGTTTGTGCTTGTTTATAAGGACCATCCATTGATTGAAATGTATTATTTTCCATACAATAGATATCTGGCCAAATTGGTGATCTATCAATCAAATCATTTAGCTAAAAAAAAAAAAAATTGAGTTTCTTGTTTGAAAAATCTCAAACACGACATAATAAAAATGAAAGTTGGTATCTAATACACGCATAACAAGAAAAAAAGATTAATTAGCTATATAAGACATTATTAAAAATGATATATCTTCGAAAACATACACTTTTCCATGAAAGTAAGCCTAATATTAGTTTAAAAGGGAATAGATTTAACCTAAAATTTGGGACATGAGATGCGTAACTTATGACAATAATTTAATGAAATTGCTACAATGTGACAGTCTATTAATAACTACACATCCTAATAATTATTCGATAAAAAAACAAAGTATTATTTACAATTTCTTCCTCCCAAATCCGTGGAGGCCTACAATCGAATAATTTCTCCTAAATTAGACCATTTATAGTTTCTAGTTTAATGCCATTTGTGTATTTCCATTTAGCTCAAATTTGTATCTTTCCCTTTTCAAGTTTCTCACTTGCCAAACACATACCATAAATCTGTTCCTCTATTTTGCCTAAACCATTAGGAAACAATTCATTTACCTAACAACTTCATAAGTGTAAATAGGTACATATCATTGTCACTTTGTAACAACAATCTCGCACACGATTTGGAGAGTAATCACCATATATTCATATAATAGATGTGAGATTCTTGGCCTCACAAACACAATTGAAGGTAGATTAAAAATAATAATAATAATTAATGGCAATAGAGAGATTCAAATCTTTAGCCAGTAAAGATCCAACTTTCTCTTTTCCGAGAGATACAAAAGTTTGATATTATCAATCAACCCGAAATAAATACAACAAGTGTTCTTTCTTTTTGAGATAAAACTTTGCACAAATTATTGCCAAAACATGGGCTTAACGTAAAGGCAACTCCTGAATTGGCATATAACTTCCATGAATTGAGAACAAAACGAAACAAACCAAAAGAACGTATTCCTGTAGTTCATGAAGTACAGGGGAAAACAGAACAACAAATTATATTGAGTTTATGAACTCTAATAACACCGTAAAAGCTTCCCATCATTTATTTGGTAAATATAAAGAATAAATTTAGATGTGTAAAATGGAGCCGACAACCTGCAGACTACTAAGAGAGATACCATAGGGATAAGCAGTATATATTCCAAATACTTAGAATTGAAGAGCCGATTATCCTTGAAGAGAGAGATGATAGGAAGAGTTAATGTAATGAGAATATTTGAGGTCATCAAATCCAATCATATTTATTAAGGATGCCTTTTGAAGAGCCACACCGAATAAAGTTCACTTGGAAAGAGAGTTCTCAAATTTGGAATAGAATAAGATCTCGCACCCTCTAAAACTTGTTTAGATTAGGTGGAAGTTGTGAGATCCCATATTGGTTGGTTGGAGAGGGGAATGAAACATTCCTTACAAGGGTGTGGATTCCCCAATGAACGTGTTTTAAAACCTCAAAGGAAAGTCCTAAAGAGAAAACCTAAAGAGGACAATATCTATATGTGGTGGGCTTAGGTTGTTCCAAAAGCAATCTCGACGAGTTTGATCCTAGATATTGTCTCAACACAATGTATTCATAGTTCTCCTATCGATTACGAGCTTCTAACTTTTGAAAGACTTGATCATCTATCTCAAGTAATTTTTTGTTTCTTATTTGTTGGAGCTAACCTAATCTAGTTATCACAATTATTAGAGGTATAAAAAATAAATCAAGTGTTTTTAACTATGTATCTAATGATCATGAGACAAGTGGCAGCCAATTCAAATAATAATTACTTCATATCTATGCTGTCAATGTCAAAAATACAAGGGCACCAAGGCAGGCAAAGAGGATATTACAAGAGCCACATAGTTTAAACAACACCAATCAAAAGAACCTATGTCATATCTCTTTCTACCAAATATATAAACGAGTTCAGGACAAAATTAAGAGAACCACTAACTCATTTACTGCAAATTATTAGAATAAAACATGTAAAACAAAGGAGCCTAACTTTTACCCTTATAAATCCTTTAGAAATCCCTTGGGAAGCCAAAGAAAAAGAATTAATTGGAGTTCATCAGCATCCCAAGAGTGTGATCCATGGTAAAAAGAAAAGGGAGGAAAAAGAAAGATTTAGGACATTTAGGGTGACCCCACATTTCTTCTCTCTAAATCTCTACCGTTCAACTCATCCTACCCTTCTCTATTTATACAGACTTCCCATTTTGTTTAGAGTCTCAAGACACTGGTGTCTTTATTCTGCAACTATCATCAGCATTACTTCATCAACTTCCTCCCGCCCCGCCCTGCTCTGCTCTGTTCTGCTCTTTTCCTATACTTCAACATCATTCATCAATGGCTTGCTTGGAGATTTGCAACCAGGTCTGCAACCTAATGAAATCATCTTCTTTTTCTCTCTATCTTTTGAATATGACGAACAGGAAGAAGAAGGCACATTTTAGAGTGTATTTTGTTTTTTGGGTACAGAAATTGCAGGGTGATGAGACTAAAGAAGAGAGGGAAATTTGCACTCTTGATGGAACTATTGATTGGCATGGCCAACCTGCAATCCGATCAAAAACTGGAGGATGGGTTGCTGGAATCATCATACTCTGTAAGACCCAAAACCATGTCCTTTTCAACTTCTTTGTCTATTTACACAAACCAAATGATCCACTTTCTCAATTTATCTCTGTTATTTCATTCTTCTCAAAGTGGAAGCTTCAGTTAAGTACATTTTCTACATGTAAATGGCAACTGAACATAACTTCTTTCTGAACCAAAAAGTCAGAAGTTTAAACGGAAAGAAAGAAAAGTCCACAATAAAACACTTTAACCATCAACTTCTTTCTTCATTATCTTATTAGAGAGAGAAGAAGAAGAAGAAGAAGAAGAAGGTGCACCGCTTATAGGATATACGTCTGCAAGGTTATGCGGGAAGTGTTTCAGAAAATTCGAGGACTTTTTGGTGGGGAGTGGGGTGGATGCTCGAGAGAGAGAGAGAGGGAGAAATAGTTTGTTAAGTTTTGTTTGAACATGAAAAAGATAAGTGGCAGTACATACTAGAGAAGTGAAAGAGCTTCTCACCGGAATTCTCAAATGCAGAAGGGGATGGAACAATGAGAGAGAAATAGGAATGGCTTTATTTCTGTACATTTGGCACTGCACAACGAGCCAAGTGTTTTAGCCTCCTTGCATGCTGATCTCTCCCCCACGTATTTTCAGGCTAAGCTATAAAGCTTTAGTAGAGAGAGAGACGGGGTGACCAAATTGGCATTACCTAGAGAGAGAAGCAAAACCCCCTAGACGATGAGAGGTTTTTTAAGGTCTATGCCTCATTACCTCATTGACTCCATGGGAGCTGGACGACAAAAGGGAGAGAGAGAAAGACAATACCCATAATAAGGACTATGCTATGTTACCTCATTCACTCAAGAGAGAGAGAAGAGACGTGCCTGACTCGTAATCCATGACGTGGAGTTGCCACGTGTTGTTTCAATAACCTATAAGAATTACAGATAATAGTTAATTAGTATCAGTTCATGGTCAACATTTAATTTTTTTATATCTATCCGTTCTTTTGATTTTCTTCGTCTTCCGTCACTAAGTTATAGGAGACTTTTTATGTGAGAAGCCAAATAGAGAGAGAGCAGAAAACTCAGGTACAGTGATAGAATGGGATCCATAACTGAATTATTTGAATTAAAAGCTCACATGAAATTCTGACCTCAGAAATGTTCCTTCTAGAAGCATTGAAAGGGAAGAAAACTATAAAGTATGTGGCTTTACATTCCTCCTATATCATCAAAGTAAAATATCTCACAAGCTGGTTGATAATGAGAAAGGGAGCTTTCAGTGGGAAATACCTAAAGGGAAACCCATTTTTATGGGTTTTACTGTTTACTGTGTGTGGGGGGGGGGGAGAGAGAGAGTAACAAGCTTCCAGTCATGCACTCACCAAATGGTAACTTTCTTTGTTTTCAGAGAGAGAGTTCATTAGAGATTTTCTGAAGTAGGTTCACATAAAAACACAACTCACCCTTGGGAAATTTGGATCTTAGTCCTCATCTATGGTTATGGAATCTATTTTGAGTCGGAATTGAAACCTGGTCTGCCTAACTTGCCTTTTCACTTCTCAAGGCACTTTCAGCTCTTCAAATAGACAACAAAACGGTGACAAAAGCCAACCACTAGGGAAATCAGACTCATTTGGACAAATTTGTCCTGAATTCACCACAAAATAAAGCACACGACCTGGCATTACATTTACTTCTATCCTGACTTGCTCCTCCCTATAATACAGTGAATCAAGGTCTTGCAACTCTTGCTTTCTTTGGGGTTGGTGTGAACTTGGTGTTGTTCCTGACAAGAGTTTTGCAGCAAAACAATGCCGATGCAGCCAACAGTGTAAGCAAATGGACAGGGACGGTCTACATCTTCTCTCTTGTTGGGGCTTTCCTCAGTGATTCATACTGGGGAAGGTACAAAACTAGTGCCATTTTTCAGATCATCTTTGTCATTGTAAGTACAGGACCAAACCTCAAATATTTTGGTACTAACAACAGGGAACCTTTTTTTTTGTTTTTAACTCATTCCTCACCTTCCTTTATTGTAGGGCCTGGTTTCACTTTCCATAACGTCACAGCTCTTCCTGATCAAACCAAAAGGTTGTGGGGATGAGAACACCCCATGCGAGTCACATTCAAGATTGGGGACTGCATTGTTTTACCTCTCCATTTACCTTATTGCACTAGGAAACGGGGGATATCAACCAAATATTGCCACACTTGGAGCAGACCAATTTGATGAAGAAGACTCCACAGAGGGGCACTCAAAAGTGGCATTCTTTAGCTACTTCTACTTAGCGCTTAACTTGGGTTCTCTCTTCTCAAACACCATTTTAGGGTACTTTGAAGATGAAGGACTGTGGGCTCTGGGCTTCTGGGTGTCGACTGGCTCAGCTTTTGCAGCATTGGTTTTGTTTCTTTGTGGAACGCCAAGGTACAGGCACTTCAAGCCAAGTGGTAACCCTATCCCCAGATTCTGCCAAGTCATTGTTTCTGCTGCTAAGAAATCAACAGTCAAGATGCCATCAAGTGAAGATGAACTATACAACGTTGATGGCAAGGACTGTTCAATGAACCATAGTAGAAAGATATCTCACACCCATGGATTCAAGTAAGGACATTTACATTTCAGCTTTAATTCTTTGAACAAATACGACAACATTGTTCACATTTTGGATTTGCTCGCAGAGATCAATGCAGCATCATGCCGCATTTTCCACTTTCAGAATTTTTCTGAATATTTTTCTCAATTGTAAAAGGAAAACCTGGAGAAATCCTATCTCGTTAACTTCTTTCAAGCTCACCGAAACCCTTTTTCATTTCAAAACGCAACAACAAAAATCATGGTTCTATATCAGCTGCCATTATAGTTTGCATGTCGCTCATGCTTGTTCTTCTATATATTGTAGGTTTTTGGATAGGGCTGCATATATCTCATCAAGAGATTTGGATAACCAAGGACAAGGTATTGACAATCCATGGCGCCTCTGTCCCATCACACAAGTGGAAGAGGTCAAGTGCATTTTAAGATTACTTCCTATTTGGCTCTGCACCATATTATACTCTGTGGTCTTCACTCAAATGGCTTCTCTCTTTGTCGAGCAAGGCGCTGCCATGAAAACTACTGTTTCAAACTTCCATATCCCACCTGCAAGTATGTCGAGTTTCGACATTCTCAGTGTGGCAGTTTTCATTTTCCTTTACCGCCGAGTCCTAGACCCACTAGCAGGAAAACTTAGAAAATCAGATTCTAAAGGGTTGACTGAGCTTCAGAGAATGGGGATTGGTCTCATCATAGCAGTGATGGCAATGGTTTTAGCAGGAATAGTGGAGTGTTATAGGCTAAAGTACGCCAAAGGCGAGTGCACACACTGTGAAGGCTCGAGCTCCTTAAGCATCTTTTGGCAGGTTCCACAATATGCATTTATAGGAGCTTCCGAGGTCTTCATGTACGTGGGACAATTGGAGTTCTTCAATGCACAAACCCCAGACAGATTGAAGAGCTTTGGTAGTGCACTTTGTATGACATCTATCTCTTTGGGGAATTATGTCAGTAGCTTTCTGGTTACTGTGGTAATGAAAATATCAACAGAGGATCACATGCCAGGCTGGATTCCAGGAAACCTGAACAGAGGTCATCTAGATAGATTTTACTTCCTATTAGCTGGATTGACAGCAATTGACTTTGCAGTGTATATTCTCTGTGCTAAATGGTACAAATGTATCAAATTGGAGGGCAAGTGTGAAGAAAGTGAAGACCAGGAGCACATCAAGGTTTGATTTGAAGAAATATAAACAAGAGCGAGACTTGTTTGATGCATATTTTCTCAGTTTGTGTTAGAATAAAAGGAATGGGGCCTAAAGTGTCAGAAACCTATTATTGGCTCAACTCTTAACAACCAATTCTTGCCGCTTTCTACAACATCTGACCAAATAATTTCAAGTCATGTTAAGAGCAAGGATGGCGTGTTATGACCTGAAGATTTCGTGTGCAAGACCTTCCATGTTCTACCTTGTAAAGCGAAGTATTCACTCGAGGACTTTGACTTCTTTTTTCCTTTTGCTCTTTTGTTTTTCCTTTTCTATGAGGGGAAGCTAGTCTGGAAAATCACTGAGCCATCATTTTCTATCTATCAACTAGTGCATGAAAATAAAGCACTCTCCTTTGCCTTCTTAAATTGGTATGGCGAAAAAAAATTAAGCAAGGTAACATAACCACACCTTCTGGTGCTTCCACCTTGTTTGTTCTAATTTATATATCTCATCGCATGTTCTCCTAGTAACAATGCAATGCCCTTGGTCTGGTGTGACCTTTGATTAATACATATGAGAAATAATAAAAAGACAGAGCTCTAACCAGTAAAACATATATTATCAATCAACAAGAAATGTCTAATAAATAGATCAATTAATTCAAAATGTTACAAAACTATAACTTATCATCATCGCAATAATCTCCAAAAAGGAGAAGGAACAAAACAATAGAGCCTTTTACCCGCAAAGTCACCCTTGGATCCTACGTACTTGAATGTGGTGAGTAGATTCTTTCCGCCAAATTGGTTGAGCTCCACTTTGGACAAGTGTAACGTTGTCTCCCCCTACCACGTGGCCCTTATTCTGCAAACGTAGGAAATTTAAAACCAAATCCTTGAGGATCTTAGAAAAAAACACAAGGAAATAGAGAAAGAAAAGTAACACGATAAAGAAAAACTAACCAGTAAAAACTTGAGTGCTCTGGAGAACGTCTCTTCTGCATCATTTGAAAACTGCATGTAGATGGGCATGACCCCATGATAAAGCACCAGCCTTTGTTTAATTCTTTGGCTGCATGTCAAAAGAATCTAGGAGATACTCTTCAAGTCGTCAAAAAATTAAAATAAAGAGCGAAAATACACAAATGCTTTACCTTCTAATCGGCAAAATCAAGTGTGAACTACATCCCGTTCAAAGAAAGAGAGATCCAACTTCACATAAATGACACGCTAAATAGTCTTTTTCAAACAAAACTTAACAACAATCGAAGATTTTGATAGTGCGGTAAGTCATTAAATCTTGCATTATTTTATCTAGAGCTACAAATACATGGAATACATTTTAGGGTTTCATCCTGGACCCAGAAAGCTACTATTCCACACAACTATTAAAAGTTTACATATATATTAACAGAAAGCTCTACATTCTCATGGAAAAGTATTCATACTTAACACCACATATACAAAGACACATTCACCTAAATCATCTTAAAGATACTAACTGTATAAATTAGGTAGCAAATATCCAAAATTGTACATGAAATACAAGGAAATTGTAATACATTACATCGAGTTGGAACTTACTCATCAGTGAAGGCAAAGATAGTAGAGCAGGGCCTATAATGACTTAAGAGTATAGCCATGGAGCCAGTTCTTGTGAAAACGATGATAGGAGTATTTAGGGTGTTGGCCATAATGGTGGCGTGAAAAGCAAACATATCTCCCATACGTCTCTGTCACAAATATGACGCACGTCAGATTTTAAAAAAATAAATAAGCTTTTATGTTTTAAATTCAAATTAGACAAAACAATTGCCTCCTCCCATGAGTCTTAACAACATCATAGACGGAACATTGAAGACACTAAATTAAAAAACGAACCTTGACACGTACACTGTATATAATACAAACCTTGCCGACAATCAATTGATTTGGAGTAGTAGAATTAATTGGTCGACTAGATTCCGTTCTCAAAGCCACAGTATGCATCACTTTCACAGCCTTCAATGGATACCTTTTTTTTTTTTTTTTTTTTTACCACGAGGGATCAAAAAATCAAATTGATATAAAAATGAAATCAAGAATGAAAAAAAAAGTACTTTTTAATAGAATCAGTAAACAGAAAACAGATTGAACTTCTTCGACATTTAACAATAACTTGAAAATCAATAGCAGAACTACTGGAAACAAAATGTTGAAACGATGCTGCGACATATCAAGAATGATGGAACCCTTTCACCAATTCCAATAAATTAGAAAAAAACGAACATAAGCATAATGCATACTGGCTATGGCGTATTTCAATACTTGCAAAACGCAGATACATTAACAAAAGAAACAAAAACATCTAGAGATTGATTGCCTTCTACGTTACTGAAAAGTCAAAGGGCCTCATTCAGTACCAAAAGGTCTCAATTGGACAAAATGGGTTTTGATTAAATAACTTCGTTAATAAACAAAAGTGCTGCCACAAACAATAATAATAATAAATAAAAATAATAATAACTTCCCAGATAATGGAGTAAGATGCATACCTCCCATGAGCAGTTTCTCCTGAAAGCATGACTGCATCAGCACCTTCTCGTACTGCAATAGCAATATCAGAAACCTCGGCTCTAGTTGGTGTGGGATGATCAATCATGCTTTCCAACATGTTTGTTGCTACAATAACAGGTTTCTGCATGCTATGACACCTTCTAATAATATCTTCCTGACAGAAAAGCAATATGAAGTACTGTTATATGATGACATATGATAAAATGTAGATAAGTATTTTTGGTTACCCAAATATAGATAAGTATAATCATTTTATTTCCTTTTACGCTTAATACTCGTGTTCCATCTCTAGCATCAATTTATTTGATTCTGAATTGTACTCCTTTCCAGAGAAACTTCAATATATGGAAAAAGATGGGTTTCTATCTTTGTGTCTTACAATTTTAAAATATTTGACCAACCATCTTAAACTTTGGAATCTGACTATGAATTCCTTACAAAAAAAAAAAAAAAAAAGAACTTAGTAATTGAAACAAATGTTTCTTCCTGACAAAATTTTCTTTGCAATCATCTTTGTTTCCATGAACACCTTTTAATAATTAACCAATCCTAACCCTCTAGGAATTACAGAGAATCAGAAATTGCAATTTACATCAAAGTACAAGAAGTCGAAAGTTCTCTCCTTGGAAAGTTTAAACAAATATAAAGGGATGTATAATTTACACGCATGACACAAATATCGGCAAAATTTACAAACCTTACTCCAATATTTTAAAAATAGTTTGAAACACCATTGGGTTTATTTTTGGCTCATTTTATCATTCTGTTAACTGAATTAAATGAATTTTTCCTGTGGATCACTTTCCCTGAACTAGTATATTACGTGCAAACATCTCTCTGGAAGACCACGCTCACCTTTTTTTCACTGTCCTTCTGTCTGCAATTGTTGGATCAAGTTGCTAGGTTGCTTCAGTTTGCATTATTGTTTTTGGCATAATAGTGAATCCTAACACCAATGACTTTGTGGACATATATGTTCAAAGAAAAATCTAAAACTCTCTGGTCCAGCTGTCAAGGGTATTTTTGTGAGATGGGTAGAGCAAAATCAGACTTAGAAGATATAATGCAGGAGGTCATATGGTGTTTGGAAGCTAGCTTTGGCTTCTAACCGGTGTACTCTTCTCAAAATTCTGTAATAATTTATGATCAACGCCAATTATAGTATTTCTTTTTTATGTCAACACACAAACAATTTAAGTCAATAAAAAGGTTAATCTGGAACTAACGTTGCACAACGGAAAAGTGATGGGTGAGAGAATACTAATAACGTTAGAGATTTACCTGCAATAAAGGAACTTCCTCGATTGGAAGTTCAGCCCCAAGGTCTCCTCGAGCAACCATTGCCTAAAAAGTCAAAAAAACTAGTAAAGTTGCAACTCAGAACACCATGATGAGCGTGGACTGTAACGTGTGACACCAAAACATGAGATAAGCCAAGAACGTATTGCCATAAATGTATAAATAAGTACTACTTCAGAATGTAATAGAGGAAATATTTCAAGTCTTTTTTTAATATAAGAAACAGAAAATATCGTCAAAACCATAGGGAATCAAGCCTAAACGCCCGAGTGAAGGGACATTCCTTCAGCTAAGGAGGTCAGAAAAATTTCCTTAGTCCAAATCATTCAAAAAGCTCTAGTAATTCCGTAGAGATAGTTACAAAAATCCAAATTGAGGCATTCCAAGTGGAAGTAATATGCTGTACATTTAAAGCAACTCATAGAGTCAATCTACAGTATCCTCTGGAGAACAACAATTGCGCCCAAATCTTCAACGTGGACAACAACCCTTAACGACAAGGTCATAATCAATGAATAGATGTTCAAAATCTCTTCATCCTTTTTAAAGTCGGAGCAAACCAGGTAGAAATTTCTTCTTGGTATTCTATTGTGAGTGTTTAGACTCTTCTAAGCCATGTGGGCATCGCTTCTTTGCATTCTATCTTCGAGTCAACCTCTCCAAGGAGGTTTCTAACTTCATTCTATTTGTGTCAGTCTCTTTTTGCCCAATATAGCCACATGAAATTATTTACCGCATTGGACGAACCTTTTTTTGACTCATAACCCCACATCAACGTTAGAGAAGTGAAATATTTCCATGGATCATTGATAGAGAGAAGTGTCAATTAAACTCACAATTGTAAGTAACTCATGCCCTTTTTTTACTATTCTTAATTCTTTTCCTCTATCTTTTTTCAGATGCCAACACCAACCCAAGTTTGACTGAGGTTAATGTTCTTGTGAACATTAAAGTCATTTTACACAAATTTGTAATTTTGGAGAGAAGAATAACTTCATGTGATCTTTTTTTTAATGGGAAATGAGCAACCATTTAATTGATATGGTGAAATAGACGTTCAAAAGATGATCGTATCTGTAAATAATTACAAAAAACACACTAATAGGACATGAGAATAGTTAAACTATAATTACATAAAGGAGTTAATTTGCTTCAAGACATGACTTCGTGTAATCTACAAAAACAAATCATTCATGAAAGCGCATTTCAGGAAAATAGAATATGATTTCTATTTAAATTGAGTCTTGTTTCTCATACTACCTCAAGCTTAATTTCTTGACTCGAGAGAGCATTGGGGCAATTTTTAGCCTTCAAAAACATTGTTAGTAAGTGTGCTACGAGTTGACCATCATCCGTTCCTTTCCTTTTAGTAGGACATATTAACAGTGGATAAAATATTTTCCAATATCACATAATCGAAAATGTTCATGATAAACAAAAAAAATAAATAAATAATAAACTTTGCTTCTAAAACTACAAGACATTTTAAAATATAAAATGGTGAGTTTTTTCACTATCCTTTGGGATCTTTGGTTAGAGAGGAATGCCATAAATTTTAGGGATTTTGAGAGATCTGTAGGACGCTCCTCGTTTAATGTCTCCACTTGCGCATTTGTTTTTACGGATTTTGTAATTATCCACCAGGTGTTATTATTTTGAATTGGAGGCACTCTTTATATAGTTAGCTTTGGCCTCTCTTGGTAGGCCATCTTCTTGTATGCCATTTTAGAGAAAGTTTGGTTTCTCATAAAAGATAATAATAACAATAATTGCAAGTAAAGCATATTGAAATATTCTATTAGAAGAAATAAACAAGAAAACTAACCCCATCTGACGCTGAAAGTATTGATTGAAGATTAGGAATGGAGTCTGCACTTTCAATTTTTACAATCACGCGAATGTCTGCACTACAGCCTAAAAAAAAGGATATATATATATATATATATGAGAATGAGAGGAAACGAAGATGTGCATAAGTGAGAATATAATGGGCAAAACATTAATATATATATATAAATGTACTTCTCAGATAGTCTTTCAGCTCATGAACCACTCTAGCATCCTTTACAAAAGAAACAGCATAAAAATCAACCTGATTATCCACCCCAAACCTTATATCTTCCCAGTCCTTGTCTGCACCATGAAAGATTTCATAGATTAGATGTTGACAAGATATAAAAGCATGTATATAGATGATAATAGATCTAAGTTATATAATAGATATGGTCCTTGCACTTTTACCACTTTTAAGCTTTTTGTGTATGTCCTTGCATTTGTTTCGTTTTGGTACATGTTTTATGGACGTACCATGTTAGTCCCTCATGTCAATTATCCATTTAAATAGTAACAAAAGGCCGACATAGCATCATGTGAAATTTAAATATTGACATGTTGCCACCTCTACTTTTTGGGCATATATAGCCATACAATATATCAAGTTATCACTTCAACTTCTACATTGTGTCATGCCAATTTATGGAACTCTTCGACAAGAGAATTAATGTTTGGGACTAAGCTGATATGTTTATAGAAGTATGGAGACTAAAATGTAAATAAAGAAAAACTGGGCACTAAAGGTGTAAAAGTAGCAAAACTAGAATTGTAATTTAACCTAAATTCTATCAATGCAACATTGAGTTAAATACTGAACACACCTGTTATAGAAGGCAATGTTGCACTTTTTCCGCGAACATTCAAATGACGCCTCGATTTGAGTTCGCCACCATCAATGACTACACACTTAACCGAATCATTCGTCTTTGACTTAACAGCCAATGACATCATTCCACCTGAGAATGGAAAATAATTTTTTGTTTGAGACACTATAATAGTCAACTGTGATTCCACGACTCATCGGCTAAGGATTTATATTTCAATGAGTAAAGCATATACAGGGTTTAATCGAAACTTTGGCATATTTAAGCATATCAATATGTAAATACATGTGTGTGCCCTCAGGACCAAGTAAGTCTAGTTGGTTCTGATGGGGAAGAAAATGAAACAACAAAAATAAAATAAAAAATTCATCATCAAGTGAGCCTCATTGATAAATCCGAAAATTAAGAACCAAGCAGCAAGGATTAAATAGTCCACATATTTGACACAGTCACCACCATCAGGACCAAGGATCAAGACCATAAAACTTGTATTTCTAACTAAAAGTAAAAGGTCATCTTGAAGCGCCTCCTCTCCAACCCACATTCCACAAGAATAATATTTTAAAGTGAGTGGCCTATCAATTATCAGCGTTTATAGCCAGCTCAAACTTTCTCCCTCATTAGCCGACTGTTAAATAAATCGTGTTGCTGCTTGAGAAAAGGTGAATAATATATATGCACTACCAATGTGAAACAAACAAGAGCAATATACTTACCGTCAACAAGTAAAATATCTCCAACTTCTACATCATTTACAAAGTCGTCATAGTTGACACTAACAGTGTCTTTTGTGCTGACTCCTCTTTTGATTGTGAAGTTAAATTCTTGTCCCTCTTTGAGCAAGATTGGTTTAGGTACATCTCCACTTCGAACCTCAGGGCCCTGAATGAAACAACGCAGTAATTATGATATGAAGAACATAGATCATTAATTCATATTTCATAAAGTAGACAACCGAGATATAAACAGAATATCAAGATACAATTTTCTTGTCAGTACACAAGTTGACTTAACAATAATGAACATTTCTATAAAAGATCAAATTTTGACATTAAGCTTCAACGAAGAAATCTCAACAATGTACAAAAGGGCACAGATGCATAATAGGTTCTAGAAACTTGCATAACCAATTAATTCAGATATTGTATAGTCAAGACTTTCAGATGAATCTGAAGTTCTAACTTGTCCCTTCTGGATTAGTTAAAATCCAGCGCTCAATACACATATAGAGGCCGAAAACATTACCTTTGTGTCAAGCATAATGGCTATAACTTTGTCTTTAAATTGAGCGTTGTATTCCTTAACCAAATCAATGGTTTTCTGGTGGGAAAAATGATCCCCATGGGACATGTTCAAACGAGCCACATTCATCCCAGTCTCTGCCAATTTCCATATCATTTCGCGTGAACTTGTTGAAGGACCAATGGTGCAGACTATCTTAGTTTTCCTTCCAGACTTCGTCATTAACTTCACCCCGCTAAGAGGGAATCCATTAGACTGAGGCTCAAAGGCAGAGTTTGAAACGTCCTGATCCTGAATCAAACAAAGAGTCTCACTCTTAGGACCGTTATGCATCAAAAGTAACAATAAGAAGGAACAAAACATTCCATTTTAGTTCAAGTAGAAAAATAAAATAAATATAAACAGCATCTGATTCCAGGTTTAAGATTCATTTGTTATTCCAGCGCAATCCAAAAATAGCATATCAAATTTACACGATGCGAAACTATGAAAAACACATCAATCTCATAATATCCGTAACTCCATGCCTGTACAAGAGCCAGTATATCTTCAGAACGAATCCGAGAGAAGCATCAACATCAGCCAAGAACAAGGCTTCAGAGTAAGCATCAGAAAAACAAACAAAACAGGAAGAAAACAATCTCACAGTGTCCAGAGAGTCATTATCAGACGCAACCTCCCGCTGCTCGGATATTCTTAAGCATCTAACCAGAGTGATTAGCTTCGATTGCAAACACATCCCTCTACTCTTCGCTTCGGGACCAAAAGCAGCAGAAACGGTTCTACATGAGGCAAGGCAGTCGGCAGCTCTGGTAGAATCAGATTTCAGCAAAGGCACTCCAGTAGAGAGATTAGACGTCGCCATAGAAGAAAACCTTGAACAGAGCGAGAGACGGAGAGAGTGAATTTCGCCAGAGAAACGCAAAAATCATTAAAGGGAAAAGAAAGAAATCTCCTCCTATAGGTGCAATAGGTGAGGCGAAACAAGGTGCTGGTCTCACTCCCGTCGGCCGGCGAGAGGGGCGGTTGTGGCGGGGTTGTTTTGTTATTCAACGACGGGACAAGAGATTTTGGGGACAGTTAAAAGAAGGGGTCCAATTCTTTGTTTCGTCTTATTTCTCTTTCACATATTTTATGCTCTTCTCCTTCACGCGATTTAAATCGCGAGTGTTTCACACTCTCCTCAAGTCACCATATTTTGCTTTTCCAATAAATATCGCAAACAAATTTGCTTTTCTTTCGTTTGAGAGTGATAAACTCATTTTTTGTTAATATACCATACTTAAACTTCCATTTCATTTTTTAATACTTAAATTTAGTTTATGTATCCTTAATAAAACTTAAATTTTGTTATTACAAGTAGTTCTTTTTTATTAAAAAATAAATTTTATAAATATATTTACCTGATATTTTTTTTACATGAAAAAATAATAACAAATTTTATTCAAAATTTTAAAATTATCTAAACTAATATAATATGGAGTCTAAAATACATGAACCAAAATAATATTTTATTTATATTATTGTTTTTAAAACTAATTCTATATATAGTAAATTTTGAAATCTGTGTTTAAGTGAGATACAAAATTCGAAATGCGAGTGGAGTTTCCAATAATTTATTTTCTAATCTTTTTTTAATCTTTTTGAAGAATGAAAAAACAATGGCTCTTATTAGGCGGTGAGTGCACGCGCGAATAAGCGAGCGTGGCGCCGTGGAAGAGATTTTTTTAATTTAAAGCATAGAGATTTTTTTTTCCTTTACAACAACGACTGGCATCTCTCGTACATTTTCGAAGATTCTTTTGCCACGTGTGATCATTTCACCCCTTTGTCCCCTTCCTTTTGATCAATCTCCATAGTTCATAATCTCCACTGGATTGACAAAACTAAACAATACAAGTATCAGTCCCTGGGCTGTTCTTCGTGTACAAAAAGCTCTGATCAATAAAACACGCAAGGATGGAAAGACAAACGTGAGAATGTGAAACAAGGTTAGAAATGATTTCCGTGAAACTCCAACACAATAAATGCACCCAGAACGACACTGAAACTGAAACCAAATGGAAAGTGTTGAAAGACATTTGAAACTGGAAGGAACTAAACTCATCAGCATGAATTCAATGGATTCGCAAACTGCTGGTTGAATTGAATTAAACACTGCGTTAAATTATGCACAAATGAAACAGAAACCAAAGAAGATTTCAGATTTCCGTCTTATATAAAACAGCAAGTCGAAAACATACCAGAGCAATTGAGGATCATCTAAAGAAGAGGAGGAGGAAGTTGAGAAAAGCTGAAAATGTTGAAATCGGTTCAGTTCGTCGGCTTCCTCTTAGCCCTAGCGATTTCATCGTCGATTCAATCAGCATTCGCTCTCAGAAACATTCCAGAGGCGCTTTATTCAGCCGATTGGTCAGCGGCGACCTGTTGGGACGCGATAACCGCGGTGGAAGGATGCCAGGACGAGATCGACATGGCGATGAAGAGTAATGAGATCGAGTTGAGTCGCGATTGTTGCAGAGCGATATTACATGGACTGCCGGACAAATGCGCCGCCGAGGTTTTCTCGTCTGGCGGAGAATTTTCGGCGGAAATTAGCGGTGCGGTTAACGAATATTGCGACGGAATGGGAATAACTCCGCCGGTGCTTGAGACTGATGAGTAAAATCGAAGAAAACTGAATGCTACAACATTCCACTGCTATTTGCATGGTTTTCAATTTTCTAAGATGATTTTTACTATTTTCTTCTTTGCGGCTGTTCTTTTTTCACTTTTATATTAAAAAATAAAACGAATTTTATGAGCTCATAGTAATGATAAGTGATACATTATTTTTCATCTCATATATCATAAATAATCACATATATATATTTATGCTTAGAGGCTCAAAATTGCGAATGCTTCTCATTTAAAACATATGAAAACGAGACACAGAAATTTACACATTCAAGGAAACTAAATGACAGAAACCTTGATTTAGAGTTCACATCGCTCACTCTCAATGCTGAAAAGCAGTAATATAGACCTACCTACCTAATCTATCAGATGTAATCGGCCACAAGATTGGCAACCTTCTTCTTTTGATAACTCAGACGGGGCTTAATCCATGTTATGCTATGAAACAAAGGGAGGGTCATTTTTATCGTGTCACGTTGAAGGAAACTATATGCCAATTATAAAATAAGCTGGCAACAGACCTCCATAAATAAGGGAGCAGCCACGACTGAAGTTTTGAGTAGCTCCACTGCGATTTCATTGAAAAATGCTACTCACTGAACAATCGTCATGAACACGCCAGATGGTTTCGCCCATCAAGTTTGCGACCGAGAGGACGGTCAACTGAGGGAAGTGACTTTGGGGGGCTGGAATTGTGTTTGTAACTATCACCTCTTGAAAGCAGCCACTGGACAACTTCTCAATGGCAGGCGGGCTGCAAAGGCCAAGAGATTATAAGGAACACCCAACAGGTAATAGTTTGAAACAGTCAAAATTGTATCAATATTGGATACTCATGCAATATGGAGGGGCAAACCAGTTAAAGTTTGTAGCTAAAACTAAACATTTTCAACTTTGATATATCAATGGAATGCTTAATGATCTACATCTTCTGATACTCCAAAAACTAACAGTTTCTGTAAGCTAAGAAAATACTTGGATCAGTCATTTCAATAAGCTGGATTCTTGTTATAGATTCTACATTGAGTTCTTTGCCTAGAATCCTAGATAGTCCACTTATTCAAACTCAACTCATTGGAGCCTCTTCATTGCAATTTCAATTAGTATTTTTGTAGAATGTTTTGTAACCAAAGGAGCGCTGAATATACCTGAAAACAGCATGAGTGCAACAAGCATAAACTTCCCTGGCTCCCTCTTGATGTAGCAGTTCAGCCCCTTTTGTAATGGTTCCTACAACACAAGTAGCTTATAAGACATGTTTCTTTAAAAGAACCATTTAGTAATACATTACCATTTTCAGAACAAAATAGGAACAGAAGGCAATATATTTGGTTTCTTAACTCACCAGCTGTGTCAATCATATCATCAACCATAACTGCAACCTTTCCTTTTACATCACCAATCAGGTTCATCACCTGTAAACACATTACATAAAGTTTTAGCCACAAGATAATTTTATTTCAAGCTTTTATTATCCATTACCAACCTATTAATCGAATGAGGTAATGGATTTCGGTTCAAATATATTTGGTGCATATACCACCAAGTTTAAGAGAAAATATATCTTGAACCAAAAAGACAATAGCCACAGAGTATGATGCAAAACTACCTCGGCAACATTGTGACCATGGCGCCTCTTGTCCACTATAGCTAAAGGTGCATCAGACAGCTTTTTAGCAAAAGCACGAGCTCTGGCAACTCCTCCAACATCAGGAGAAACCACTACCAAATCACTAGAACAAACCCTCTTGCTGGCGAGATAGTCAAGAATCACGGGCTATAAAGTCGACGAAAAACAATATAAAACTCAGTAACGATCCAATATTTCCAAATTCTGGCAATAGAAATATAATGAACCTTCTGTATAAGAAAAAGATAAAAGAAAGAACCTACATGGCAATTTATATGATCCACAGGAATATCAAAGTAACCCATGGATTGCCCTGAATGAAGATCGCAAGCAAGAACACGATTTGCACCAGCTTCAGTAATGATGTTGGCAACAAGCTTTGCAGCAATGGATTCACGCCCTTGAGTCTGATAGAAGATTTTAAGCAGACAGTTACACAGCAAATAATGGAACCACTTTCCAAATCAATCCAATGTAAGTAATTTTGAGCTCATAATGTATCTTCTATCCAAACTCAATAAAATCAGCGCACCTAACTGTCAGATTCCTAGTGCTTTTAAGAATTAATAACTTTTTCGCATACTAAAAATGAGTTATAAAAATGCGCAAATGAAAAGTTACCTTTCTATCAGCTCTAGCATATCCAAAATATGGAATTACAGCAGTAATATTTTTGGCTGAGGCTCTCCTACAAGCATCTATCATAATTAAGAGCTCCATAAGATTCTCATTAGCAGGGGGACAGGTGGGCTGTACTAGGAATACATCACATCCTCTAACACTCTCTTGCAATTGAACATATATTTCCCCATCCGCAAACCGCTTGATGTTGATCTTTCCAAGTTCCAGCCCCATGTAACAGGCAATTTCCTGAGAAGTAAATAACTCAAATTAGCAAACAAAGATTAGTCTCCAGAAAGAAAGAAAGATAGGTCCATATTTAAATGCTGCTCAGGAGATTTTGTCTTTCACTTCGAACACCTCAATGGCCAAAACCATTCGGCTTTGCCAGTCACTTTAATTGAACATGACAACTTCAGCCAACATAGATCTTCCAGAAATATGAATATAAAAACCTCATTATTATTCCACTTTCCCACAAATTCAACCAGAAAAAAGAAATGGCTGGAGAATAAACTGAACTCTTAAATTCCAACTCGAATAATATTTTCACCATTATGAACATGTAATGATATGCCTAAATAAGAACATTGAGTGTAAATATCCTTTATATCTAAACTATTAAAGAGAAAAAAGTAAAATTTCACTTCGACTAACCAAACAAAATGAGTAGTCTAACCTGCCGTTGACCAAGACATAATTATTAACACCTTAAAACCCTCTCCACCTAATGGCTCGAAAACAATAATCAGACTAAACTATCAAGATAAAACCCACCACAAGTCATACTAGCTTCGTGGCGAGTATAAGTGAAACTTTCATGGCATTGTAGGGTAAAAGCTAAGAAGTGTTTCACGAGTACAACAGCTGAAATTAACCTGTGAAAGTAAACGGTTTGCAGACCCGGAAAACAATTTCAAACGCGTACTAGTTCGATCAACTCTTCTATCTACTCTTCTATCCATGCGAGCTGACTCCAAGAACTTGGGCAGCGTCCGTTCAGTAACAACTGGAAGTACTGGTTTCCCGTTTACATGCTTCAAAGACTCGGAGAGATCACATCGCTGACATAATTCAGTTAAAAATAAAACCATAAGAATAAATGCAGTCGAACTTTGATAGTGACAACTATTACTAGAAAAGTTATAGCGGCAGAATTATTCGAAACAACGGGGAGAGGGGAAACCAAATCAAACGCATCTCAAGAAAAACCAAAATACAGAGTGAGAGGGGAAGAAGAAGCATACAACTCTGCCATTATAACACATTCGGGACGGAGACACATTAGGAACAAAAGCTCCATGGTCGAGAGAGCCAACAGCGAACAGAGACGACAACGACAACGCCAACGACGAAGAAGAAGAAGACGGAAGAGTCAACGCAGCAATAGAAGCCATCTCTAATAACAACAAAGATGGAGCAAGAGATCGCTAGGGTTAGGCCCGGGAAGGCAAAATTTAAGAGAAGATTCGGAGACGATGAAACGCAGCTGTGTGAGCTTCTTATATATATAGATATCAATGGCGGTACTGCTAAATTTTACGCTTATTTTCCGGTGTTGGAGGAAAATTAATTAAATTTAAAATCTTGGGGCATCTCCTTTTCCGCGGAGAAAAGGCGTCACATCAGGCACCCGATACGGCGTCGTTCAACGCAAAGTTATTCGGCTTTTTAAGGGCGCTATGGCTTCGCAATTGTGGTTGAGTGGGGACAGCCACCAATCAAAATTCAACATAAATCAATCAAATATTAGATTATTTTGTATTAATTTTTAGTAATTTTCATAATATAATTGAATTACAAATTTCATATGCATAATTAACCAAGCTTTAAAAAAATTCAAACATCTAAGATAAGTTCAAGTGATTCCATTTATTCAATGATTTGTTTTTATTTTTTAAATCTTAACTATTTTAAACATAAATTTCAAGTTTTTAATTTTAAATAAAAAATGGTAACATTAATTAATACATAAATAAAACAGTAATATGTAGATAATAGATAAATAGAATAAATTATTTTTTTTTTTAGGACACAAATTTTAATTAAATTGATATTTGAAAATATGCCTTTTTTAAATAAGTTATATTTTGAAAAATGATTGTAACCATATGGAGATACCAATAAATCCAAGATTCCCAGATGACTACTTTATCTGATATTATTAATTTTAAAATATAGCTTTACTCAATTAACGGTTTAATATGTAACGAAATTAAATTTTCAAGATTCTAAATAAATATCATTAAACTAATATTTATTCCTCTCTTATAAATATTTTTCTTCATTTTCACGTGCATAAGAAAATATTAAAGTTACTTTACATTATACTTGAAAGCGTAGTTTACTTTGAGCTTTCTAAAAATTTTCAGTGAATAAGGACAAAACATGTTGGAATGACTCGTATTATTTACGATGATAGACTTCACACTTAAAAACGGAGAGTAAATAATGTGAGCATGTCGTAGAAGGATATCGAGTTCATAAAGTATCAAATTCGAATTTCGAATCATAATCTAAATTTTGAATAAGAGTTGCTATCGAAGGATGAGATTTATAAAATTATAATTTGTTTATCAGTCGATCACAAGGTTAATTGGGTAATCGTCAACCATTCGAACACTCTAAGTAGTAAAGTAACAAATTTGTAGCGTGGATGGTCAGCCAAACTGTATAAAATATCGTTTATCGTGTGAGAGAAGAGACAAAATTGAGTGATTTGGTTCAACCACGTAAGCATTTTATTTTATTTTTTTCGTTTTATGTATGAAACTTTTGACAGACTTGAATTCATCATCATACTTTTCCACGACCAAAACTGTTGGCGATCTTATCTCTCTCTCTCTCTCTCTCTCTCTCTCTCTCTCCTCCATCATATTGTTCTTATCCCTCTACATTTTAGAGGACTACTGCCTTCCATTTTTTTAATAATTAGTAGAGAATAGTAAAAAACAAACATTTTTTTTTTATATTCTACATTTAATTTTCAAACATTTAAAGATAGTATGTAAGCACCAATATATGGGTAAGCTTATGAAAATTTTTGATTACACTATAATTATTTAATAGATAATGTCGAGAGTTGCATGTAGATAAGGTTGATGAAGTTCTTACTCTTTAAAGTGATCACGAAAGAATTTATAGTATTTTTTAAACATTTATTTTGTTCATAATATATATATATAGATAGATAATATGATTAATTGATGATATTGACATAGATGCTCGACAAAATCTCATACAACTATTTGCTATGCAACTTCTCAAAAATTTGAACTAAGTTGAATTGAAGCATATATTCTCGAGACTAGAGATCAAAAAGTTCAAATCTTGGTGAACTAAAAAATATGTAAAATTACATCTCTATGATTTCAATGAGTTTGTAGGACTATTTATAGAGTTTTAACTTATAAAACTAATGACTAAATTACTACAGCAACCAAATATGGTGGTTGAAGTCCTCGTTCTTTGTACATACAAAATCAGAAGCAGAGCTCCAAACACACAGGCCTAATACATGGACGAAATACCTAGAAACTGAATAAATATATCAACAACGAGGGAGGTCGAAAGGGCTCGAGAAGAGCAGAGGCCTAGCAGGACAAAAAATAACATTGCATATTTACTCGGATCGAACTCACAATTAAAAGTAACTTCCAGCAAGCAGAGTATTTTCCTTTGTCCTTAATGTCGACCCATCCATCTTGAACAAAAAGGAAATCCAAATGTAGAAGAATGGTTTCACACAACAAGTACACAACTTTTTTTTTTGCCTTGGAAGACAAGGTTACACAAGTACAGACTCTGGAAAAATCTCTTGGTTATACACAAGCAGAACGAGCATCCGACCCACTAAAACACTAGAGTTGAGTGAAACAAATAATACAAGACAGACATACTTATCACATGATGGTGCAGCGGCTCTTTTCTTCTGCTGGCTGTGGGGCAACTTGCTGAAACCTGTGAGACTCAGATGGGTTGTATGTGAACTCGGAAGTATCCAGCCCATACTGTTTCAAACAGAAAAGAAAAACAGGAACAGCGTCAGAATGGCAATTTAGCTCAATATGAATCAATAATCACATCCAAATTATTGCAGGGAGCTTAAAATCAAGAAGTCAAGGTTTGATCAGCATGAGTACACAAAGATATCGCATAAAATTCTAAGCGGAATAAAAAGAATATTTAACAATGAATACTTGTTCACATGAGCTATTTGTACAGAACATGATAAAGTATTACGAGAAGTCCTAGTATCTCATAGGAATGCAAGCTATGTGGATGGTTAAAAACATTATTACAGTACTAAGGGCATATTAGTAATTAGCCAAGGAGTTTGTCAGTAGGATTTAATTATAAATAGAATCAGTGGGAGGAGTAGAAGGCATGCAATTGTTTAGTGGCTTAAAGTGGTAGGGTCCAAGTAACTCGGATACTTTGGGAGTTAATGTAGAAGGCTCATAGTCTTACATTTTATCTTGCAATATATTTTAGCTACTTGGTTTCTATCGGTATCAGTTTCTTACAGTAGAAATGCAAGAATAAAAGTAGAGGAAGACTTTTTGTCGTGCATATCTTTACATTTTCATTACTTTCAGTAATAAAATTCAACCTAGAAAAATTTATACCTTTTCCCTCATTCGTGCACTCCAAGCATCATTTCGGCTTGGTCGTTGATCAAGTGTCCCAGCAACAGGTACACCAGTTGCAGGAGCAACAGGCCTATTGATCAACGGTTGTCGGATTTGTTGCCTTGGAGCAATGTACTCATCATCACTGTCATAGTCTACAGGTCGGTTTGCTGCACGAACCACAAGGGCCAACAAGAAAAGGAGAGCCTGAAAATAAAATGAAACAGAATATTACTCGGGGTAAATTTTGTTCTCATTGGGAGAAACAAGAACTTATAATCAGTGCAAAGCAAATCCTCGGCCTTTCATTGGTATAAGGGAGTTTGTAGCTAATTGGCTTAGGGGAAAGCACATAGTTTATGAAATCAATAAGGGGGAAATCAGAAGTAAAGCAAACATTATTAAAACAACATTAAAGTATGAATCCTCTAGTGACCAACAAAACAAATTTTGAATCACTGATGTGGAAGTAAAATGTATTTATTTGCAAATCACAAGTGGGTGTTAAAGAACCTTTCAACCGCATATTACTCGTGCTGAAAAAAATGTCCTAAGCCAGAACTCAAGAGATACGAAACAACAAAAAGGAGAAAAAAAATGGATCTCTAAAATTTGATGAAGGGTGTAAAGTGCACATTCGTGCTGACAGAATTTCAGCAGTGTCAATCTGTTTCTTGAAAAGCACAAAGTCTGGGGCATACAAACATAGTAAAGAATGCATACAATTAAATCAGTAAAGAGTAGATAAATAAAAAAAACAAAAATAAAATTAACCAAAAATCAAAAGGAAAAAAATCAAATGTGATTTGAATTCAAACACAAAAATTGAATATCTCAATAAGGTTAGCACGTTAATCCTTTATTCTAGATTCGCTTACCTCAAAAATTACAGCTCCTAATGCAACCCATCTGATGATTTCCCACTTGTCTTCTAGGAGTTCATAGATTTTATCAAAGTTCCCAGTTTTATCCCCAGGAATTTCCTATAGAATAAAAATAACATAAGAAAATGAACTAAAATGTTCAACTTAAGCTTGTGAGTGAACACTCACATCTCTCCAATGTTTGTCAAAGAATATGAATGCTGCACATCCTAGTTGCACCAAAATCAGTAGAAGCACCAAAACTGAATACTGTGATCATTAAGGATACAGTAACATAAAACTGAAATGAAAATTGGCGTCAAATCTTTTAGATTGAACTGTATGGGAAATCATTACCATGTTGTATTATATTTAAGGTGACCATCTAATCTCTATGAACAGTGTTTTCATCCCGAAGCCAATAAGTTGTTCCCTGGTGGTCTAATTCTATCATTACTAATTCTTAAATCAAACAACAATACAGCCAAACAGGCAAATAGGATACACAACTTAAACAGCATCCATTACGTGTGGCAGCTCCAATACACCCAAAACAAGAGACAACAAAGATAATGGCTCCCACAGCAATGAACAAGTATATGAACCTGCAAAAGAAATAAAAGAAAAGAAACAGATTAAACAGAGGCCACAAATATCCATATTATTGTATCATCTATGGCTGATAAAGGGTACTAATTAATGGCGTGAATATGCTTACGTGTGAAGATTGAGGAATAGAACCCTTTGAGATGAAAGAAAAACACAGATTGAATGAAAAGAAGAGACAAGGATGTAACATCCAGTACTTTTGAAATGGCATATCATTATTTAAATATGAAATATCTTATATTCCCGGCAATACTTATTTTGTATTCTAATGCAAATCAATATGTAAACCGGTTCCCATATTTAGATGAGACTTCCAATAAATTGGCTCAAGTTTTCATGAAATTATGCAATAAGAATATTGGTTAAAAATTGATGACATGTCCAGTTAGCAATATATATTCGATATCTGTATTGAAGAAGATTTCTAAGTTGATTCGACAAAGCACTTCAATCATTTCAGCTGTCAAAAAATAGAACAGCCAACCTTATCTGTTTATTTTTAGTTAAAAAAGAAAAATCAGCATACGGGCCGGTTGCCCACTCATGCAAGTATGCGATTGTAGAGATTTTATGGATCATATGGTTGTAACATGAGCTCGATCAAAAACCCTATGAGTTTGCATAGAAACAGAATTTCTGTTTTGCAGAATTTTAGTAGTAGACCATAAATTTGGGGGTAAACACAAAAACATGTATAGAAAGAAGACCTAAGGAAAACAAAAATTATTCAAGCAATAATCATGAGCTCAACCAAAAACTCAATGAGTTTGTTGACTTATCCAAACGTGAGAAATCAACATGTCATAAATTTGACCAATGACAGAAGACCCTTGAACTTTATACTGTTCTAGAAAAAATAGAAGCAAATCCTTTTGACTAAAACTGAACTGTTGCCAAACAAATAAATTGAACCTTAGAACTAATGTGACTTCTACAACACTGAATGATATAGCACAATTGTGGAATGTGTAGGAAATCCAGAATTTTTATATCTTCAATGAGTGGAACCATAATTTATCTACTTCATAAACTCCACCACATCATTTGATCATGTACCTCATATCCCTCATTATCTCTCTCTCTTTTTTTTTTTTCCCCCCCAAAAGGATATCCTATTCTTACACCACAAATTTGTGGGAGAAGGGGCTCAAACTTCTTACCTAGGGGAGGAAACATGGCCACCAAATCAATGAGCTACTTATGAAAGCTCAATGTCCTTCGCTATTTTCCAGACTACTTGTGCTGCCTAAAGTCAGCCATTACAAGTAGCAAGAAACATAGATGATGTAATTAGAAAGAAAAGTCATACCAGGCTCTTGGAAGGTTATCAAAGATGTTAGAAGACAGAGACACGGCCATTAGCATTGGTCGACCAAGCTGAATCACATCATGGTCACCACTCAACGGAGGTCTTGGGACATCACTAGAAGATTGCAAGTACTCAACTAACAAGTAAATCCCATAGCCTACCATGGCAAGACCCAGCAGGGATAAGAAGAAGTTCAGAAGCTTCAATAGGCACTCAAAGCACCCTCTGCAGGCCATCCCCTATATACGTTCGCTCCCTAAAACAACAATTGAAATGTGCATCTCATCAACTCAAAATCAACAAGTTCGCAATACATGCAGCTAGTTATTTCTACAGTTAAAAAAAAAAAAAAAATCCCAAGCTAGAAGACAAATTACAACTTTTCTAGTACATTCGTGCATTAAGTGATATTTATATCCAGGCGTTCAAGAATTCTACGCACAAAATTAACAAATATGTACAGATCCCGACCTACAATTTAGCTACGACAACTTCCAAAATCCAAAACACATGAACTAATAAAGTCCTCATGACCTTCAAGATGCATCGTAGTTTCTCAACAACCAAAGGGAATACACTCCCCTTCCTCCATACATCGGCCATCAAGGTGGAATTATAACAAAAACCAGCACAATTTTTTCCTCGATATCATCCATATTCTCTCAATTTAGAATGAAATCATTCAAATAAACATCGACGCAAATAGGTAGCGAACGTAATCTAGCTGAAAACAGGATTCGAAAAACTTACAAATTCGAAGACGATGATTATCAGATTGGTTGCTTTCTCGGACCTTGCAATCAGAGAGAGAGAGAGAGAGAGAGAGAGAGAGAGAGAGAGAGAGAGGTAGGAAATGGAAAGACGGTCCGGTTCTAATGAGGCCAGTTGGCGATTGGAATTGCACCCTAATGGCTTTTTTAATTTGGAAGACATTTCTACCCTACCCTCTAAGCTCGGGTGTCCGGATGTTAGGGGGACAATATTGTCAATTTCAGATGACGACAGTTCAGACAATAATAGTTGTTATTTACCCCCTCGATAGATATTTATTTACGCGACACACAATAAATAGGGGTTTTTGAATTTGAAACTCCAAATAATTCCTAAACTTTTTAATATTATTGTGTTTAATAAATTTACGATTAATTTAGACTGATCTATCTAATAGTTTATCAAATATAAATATAAAATTTATGTTTAATAAGATGAAATAAATTGTGTAGGCTCTTCTATACATATTGCTCCACGCTCCACACCACTTAGATTTTTATTCTAAAAAAATTTTAAACTAATTTTTTGATTTGACTTTAATAAAAATGTTTAACAAAATATTTATACACTAGAGTAAATAGTTAATTTAAAAATTTTTGATTCATACGCTTCTATTTTTTAAGTTAAAAAATATACTTATCATTAGTACTATGTTAAAAAAAAAAAAAAATAGGATCGACGCCCCTATACTAAAAATAAAAATTAAAAATTAAAAAAAATTACCTACTTTTTGAAAGCATTTAAGTATTTTTTTAACATGGTACTCGTAATAAGTACCATTTTTAAAAGAAATTAAGAGTATTAATGAAATTTTTTTAAATTAAAAGATGTTTTTGAAACTCCTTTAAAATATTAATTGTTTTCAAATGAGAATATTATTTTTTTTAAAAAAAAATTTAAGAGTATTCTTTTAAGAGGGGATATTTTTGAGATAAAAGTAAAGTTTAAAAATATTTTATTAATTTAGAAATATATATATATAACGTGAATATTAAAATGATTGAAATAAAATTGAAATGTCAAGAAGTAAATTTGTAATTAAATCCAAATACATTTATATTACATTTGTATTATTTCATAGAAAGACAGGTGTTAATGTTTAACAACCTTCAGCCAAAATCAATCATCATGGAGTGGGATCAGGGAGGTTTGGAGCCGTTGATTCGAGGAGGAACGGTGGAGATTCCTTTCTTTGAAAGTTCTTTGAGAACACTCTCTGCAGAAGGAGGTTTAAGCCCCAAGGGAAGGGGTGACAATGGTTTCCTCCTCGCCTCCTTCACAATCTTGTCAATCAGCTCCTCATCCTACCAAAAATAATGACTATAATTAATTATTTAAATTCCATCTTATACCTATTTTTTGGTAGGAATATAATATCAAATCAATATGATACTTGCTATAATTTATCAAAACAAATAGCTCATTTTGTATCAAGAAATTATGTAATGTAAGAGAAAAGGAGGATTATATTTACTGGTTGAATATCAAATGAACTGTGAGGCGTGCCATAGCTCTCATTTGCTGTATACACATTGTGTGATGATGAAATTTGCTGCAATATGGCAAAAAATAAAAATAATAATAATAACTGCCATGATTACACCAAATAAAAAAGTTATTTTCAGTTTAACTCTTGCAAGAAATATTAAAAAAAAAAAAAAAAAAAAAAAACTCTCTCACCTGAGGATATGAAAAATATGGTGCACGAGAAGGCAGCATCACAGGGCAACCCCATGCATCAGCTTGCATCTGAAACAAATAAGTTTGAACAACTATTATCACAAACGACATTTTTCAAAATTTTTAATTATTTTACCATTTTGTTTGTTCTCAAGGACCAGTAGCTTTAACAAGTTAGTGACATCGAGATTTTTGTTTTTTTTTTTTTTATAAAAAAAAAAAAATTACATGAAAACAAGATTTTTTTTTTTATTTAAAAAAAAAACATGTTACTGTTTTTCAAATGCTGTTTCATACAAGGTTATTAATTTGGATGGAATCTCGTTGTTTCACAGTGAAATCTAAGAATGAAAAACGTTACCCCAGCATAAGAATTCCATGGCTGAGTTCCTGGTTGCGGCCAATGGCGATAATCAGGCGGACCCCACATGTTGACACTAGCTGGTTGGCCATTGTTCTGTATCCATGTTCGATAAACAGCGGACATGGATATTCCACAGTACGGATAATAAGAAAGGTAAGCCATGTTCGGTTTCAAGTGATTGGTTAGCATTGAAAATCTTGGATTTTCTTCTCTGTGGACCGCATGTTTTTTTTGCATCCTGTACTTCTGCAAAAACGAAGTAAATCAATGTACTTAAAAACAGGAAAACCAATGTGGTGTTCATTTTGCAAGTTAACTAAGCAATTAGAGGTGAAGTTTTAGAATATGGAAGAACAAAGCCCCGTGGGAAACCTGGAGATGACTTGCAACGTTGTGCCTTGTCAAACCTTCAACTTTCATCAGCTCAAGTATTTTGGAAGGAATCGCACGATCTATGCCCAACTGTTCGACTGCCTGAATAAACTTTCTATGTAGCTCTGGGCTCCAGTCCACCTAATGGACAGTAGAAGTCGCAGTTCAAAACATGATGCAGAGTAATTTGAGAATACATGTCTAAGGCACTTCTCAAAATTTAGCGTTTTTGTATCAGATAATCAAAGTACCTTTGTTTTCTTCGATTTGGAACCAGCTGAAGGGTTCACATCAGATCCTTGGATTGAGTGCTCTGCTGCTGAAGGACCACTTTTGACGCCACATTTATTCTGCAAGGGAAGATAAATGTCGCTTTCTGCGATTAAACCAACTGCAGAGTTCTCATCTTCTTTGACCATTACGTTGCCAGATAATCGAGGTTGGCGCTCCTGAAGGGTATCTTCACAAACCAAATCATGTGAAGTAGTTTCGACGAAGTTAGACTGCACATCTTTGTCACTGCAATCTGTTTCCATTGGACAGTTCATTTGATCTCCACTTTCCCAGCAACCTTGCATCGATGATCCCTGGTTCAGTTGAGAGTTAACATTTCCTTCTGGTTGCTCTTGCTCCCATACAATGTCTTGAATCCAAGAAAGACCTTCCGTATCTTCCAGAACTCCATTATTGTCTTCACTCTCTAATTGGAGCTGCATCAAGGATGCTGCGGAGTCTACTTCAGGCTTCGGTGTACTGGAAAATGCCTACTCAAAACATTGCTGGTCAATATTTTGTCTTTATATTCGATGTTCTTTAGCAATACAAATTTTGCCAGAATTGAAAATACCTTGTGAAGAACATGCTGCCAGATATTCCTCAGTTTGTCCTCAGAGAGTGGTTTCAGCAAGAACTCAACTGCACCAAGCTAAACGAAAATTGTAAATCTTGATCCATAGACAATAATGCAAAACCATAGTTATAATCTAAGCGTCAATTTCTGCTGTAAACCAAATAAAAATTATAGATACTAGCTTTGTTTAGAAACTGGTTTCTCAGACCAACAAAAGAAGTAGATACCAGAACCAGTTATTGCAAAACATACATGGTTTCCGGTCCCTAAGGAACCCTTGAAAGGAATTAAAATCTAATTTTAGAATTACCAAAAAGACCGGTTAAAGAGAAACTAGATTGGAGTTCTTACTGCAATGCACTTCATCATGGTACTTAGGCAATAAACATCTGAAGTCACTGTGCCATAGAACAACATAATCTCAGAGTCAGGTCACGAACCGTAAAGTTTGTTGGAGGAAGCTTTCAAAAACTTCCCACAGTTCGCTATTCAAAACCGTCTTTTTTCCTTTGAGAAGAAACCAGTTTTGGTTGTTAACTTACTTATGATTGGCAAGTCCTTGGAACTTCCAAGCAATTTAAAACTCTCATCATAATTTCCTTCGCACATCTGAATCAGAGAAGGAACCAAGAATTTAAATGTTACTACAAGAACAATAAGGAACTAAAATTTGAAAATGATGAGAGAAATGAAAAAGAATTTAACTAAGTTAGTTGAAGGAAATAAACAATAACAGTTAAATTACTGCTGAAAATGGTCCAATCCTCACGAGAACTGGATATTATCAAGCAAGCGAACTTAAGGAGTCAGCTTACGGCCTACATGCATAATTCCATTATGGAAGTGACTAGCCATACCTCCAGAATTGCAATATGGAAGTTTTCCGGTGTGTTCATAATCGCTGACAAAGCTTCCTTCTCATCATTACAGTAATAGACTGCAATATGCGAAGTGAAACTTCTTAACACAGAAGTGAAATCTTTATATAATAGAAAAGAAACTAGAAAGAAAACTTCTTAAAGGAATAGAGAGAACGTGGAAATGGCATCATAATAGAGAGAAGTCAGATCTTCAACAAATTAATATTTGGAAACACACATTTTGTGGAAGAAATAATGAAACTCTAAAGTCGTCGTACAAAGTAGGAGTGCATTTTCTATCCGTTCATAACTGCAACTCACCCACAATATATCTGATTATTGTTACATATCTTTTTAAAAGAAAAAGTTTAAACATAGTTTTGGTAAGTGAACTTTCATTAATTTTCTATTTTGGTAGGAAGTTTTATTTTGGCCTTGGCCAAAGTAAGCCTAGTTTAAGAGTGCCTTAAGTGAAAGAGGATCTTTAACAGAAAAACATCTTGAACAGAAAAAAAATGGGGAGTGCGAAATGTCTCACCAACATGCTCCATTTCCTCAAGTTTTGCTCTTATCTCGGTAGCGGAGCGGCTGTCCCGATCAAGGAGAAGAACCCTCAGACCCTTAGGAAAGTCTTTCCATTCTTGTAAATCGTCGGCAGTGCAAACCATAGCTCGCTTGGCATATTCTTAGATCACTGCTAAAAAACTCATACATCTTCAAATCATCTTCATTTGAAATAGAAAATTCAACATATTTAAAACAAACAACGAACAGAAAATCGAAATTTCACAAATGTGCAAGAGCGAGACGCTCGAGGAAATAGTAAAACAAATGCGAACAGACGTCTGGCAGAAAATTTAATACGTGAACTCAAGAGATTATTCATGAAAACGTTAATGCATTTGCATAAAATGGCACATACAGTAATCATTAACTTCCTGAACTCCGATCAATCAATTAGATAGCTATTTCGAAGAAGACTAACTCCTCAGACAGTTATTTTCCCAATCGGAACGCAGAGAAAATAACAAAACCAGAAAGCAAGACGAAGAGCGATTCAAGAATCATAACGAAAACATTCAAAATCAAACTAATCGCAATCACAAGAAAGCAACACTTTCCAACAACCGAACGCTCGATCATTGACGATTCGAAAAGCTAACAGAATAGTTAGAGAAGGCGCTTTGGAGATTACCTCAGTCATGCTTTCACCTCTTCCTCTGGTCGATTCGTAGTTTCGTACATTCTGCAAAAATAAATAAAGAAATAGAGAGAGATAACATAGAAAGACAATGGAGGTGTGAGAGAGTACGGATCCTTACGATTGCGGTCCGCACCTCAGCATAGATGGCAATCAAGAAAACTGTCGAATATTCGTTCAGTTCAAAGATAGGAAGAATTCAAAGAGAAGTGAAATGGAAGACGAACACTTACAGTGGAAAAGGCAGGAATTAGCAGCGTCAACAAACTTTCTACGTGGTTGTAATTTTTTTTCCCGCTCAACCATCATACATTTATAGGGACTCTTTCCTCTTTTCTAAAAAAGTATGCTTCACATTTACCAGTTTTTTTTGTAGATATATATACACGTGTAATGTTTTCTTAAAAAAAATCCATTTCATTTATTTATTCCTAAATTTAAAACTTTTATCACTAAACTATTAAAATTATTTACCAAGTCTTTGTATTAAAGAAAATCAGTTTCTAATAAAATTATGAATTTTTTAAATTACCTCCTGTTTAATTATACAAATAATACATACCTGTAATGTCCCATCCTATTTTCTTAGTTTGACTTTTTCTTTTAAGCTTATCTTAACATTTTAAAACTCTATCTGCTAGGTGAAAGTTTTCACACTCTTATAAACATGTTCGATTCTCTTCTCAACCAATGTGAGACATCACGAACGAGTGCTAGCGAATTTTAAACCTTTGAGGGGAACCCAAAAAATAAAACTCAAAGAGGACAATATGTGCTAACAGTAGATCTTGGACGTTACAATACGAGTAGGACTTTGTTGTTAAATATGTAAATTAAATTAATTATGAGCCATTTAAAGTGATTGGTTGAATAAAACTATCTTGTTATAACAATTAAATTTAAGGATTTAAAAAAAATTAAAAAATTAAAAATTCGATCTTAAAAAACATATATATATATATATATATATATATATATATTTACAAAAAAAGTAAGAGAGGAAATTGCGAGACCACACTAATTTAATCCTTATCTACTTTAACCACACCTTCAAATAAGATGGGCACGTTGAAACTTACCAACTAAATATCAGAAAATAATTGGCTACTAGTTTGAATTTATTTATATTATCGAGTAATATTAAACAATTTAATAATTATATATATATATATTACAAATTTTATCACCTAACTTTGATGTATGCGGAGTTTGTTAGCTAATGTCGTGGTTTGGTTATATTTAAATTTGAGAAATATATATATATATATATATATATATATAATTTGACACAAATATTTTGTTAGAATATATGTTAAGCAACATATATATATATATATATATATATATAATTTGACACAAATATTTTGTTAGAATATATGTTAAGCAACACGATTCTCACAATGGTATGATATTGTCCATTTTGAACATAAACTATCATAATTTTACTTTAGGCTTCTCAAAAGGCTTTAAACAAATGGAGATAGTATTATTTTATTAAACTCATGACTATTCCATAAATTATAGACGGACTTTCATTCTAACATATATTTTTTAACATTCTAATTTTTTTTTTAATTTAATTTTTTTATTATTATTATTTCTTTACGTTGGTATGAGGCCTTTCTCGAAAAACCCAAAGCAAATCCATGAGAGATTATGTTCAAGGTGGACAATAACATACCATTGTGAAGAATTGTGATTTTTAACATATATACTTTAGAAATTTATTAAGTCCACGTGACAATAAATTTTAATAAGAAAAATAAATTTGCTGCAAATTTGGATGAAATTAAAAGCGTAAGTATGATAGTTCTTATTTAATAAGAAAAATAAATTTGCTGCAAATTTGGATGAAATTAAAAGCGTAAGTATGATAGTTCTTAGTTACTACATTTAGATATTCTATGCGTCGTCAACCTCACGGTTTTAAAACGTGTTTCTTAAGAAGAGATTTCCACCCATAGATATTCTATGCGTCGTCAACCTCACGGTTTTAAAACGTGTTTCTTAAGAAGAGATTTCCACCCATATAAGAATGTTTCGTTTTTGTCTCTAACCGATGTGGGATCTCACAATTCATACTCTTCGAGAGTCTAGCATACTCACTGGTACATCGCGCTCGATATCTAAGTTTGATACCATTTATAATAAATTGGTGTAATCGGAGGTAAAGGAATCTAAACATCAAATCAGAACATTAAATTGGTATGAAAGAAGATTAAAAAAATCAAAGCAAGATTGCGGAAAAAGACAGATTTGTTTCCAAGTAAAGGGGAAGGAGGGCATAGAATTTATGAACTTTAGTGTTTTGGTGTAATGTTTTGTTTAGGGGTTTTGGAGTCATTAGGATGTTATGTCAAAACCATAGCATTGTGGATGCAACCAACACTGTGTTGTTTTTTCAATTCTCCTTTTACGTCCATGGTTTGCCAGCCCACGGATTCTTCTCTTGTGGTTCTCAATATTTTAAACAACCTACTTTAATATCTAAACTTTTAATTATCATATTTATTTTTTTAAATATATTTTTTATTTTAACGTCCAATAAAAATTTAATATTACTAATGCCAAATGCCAATGTTTTAACCCTTGAGATAAGTTCGAGTTGATTTACTTACTATTCTTTTACTCGTTTTTTTATTTTTTATCACTATAAAATTTCGAAATATAAAAAACTTTAATATAGTTATTATTTACATTAAAAACTCACGAAATCTTCAATTTTACTTCAAAATTATGCTATTAGAAAGAGGAGGGTGGTTGACGTTGGCCTTCAGGTGAACAAAATGGGAAATATCTGTCCATGTGGCACCGTGTGGAATTTTTTAAAGCTCTATGATAAAAAAGAAAAAAGAAAAAACATTAATTAGGGTCATTACTATTAAATGTTCTATTCAAGCAATTATAAAATAAAAATATTAAATAAATAAATAATTGTGAGAATAACGAGTGTCCACTGTGATTATGTTGAAAACTTTATCTGATATTTAATCGTGTGATTCAAATTTCAATATGAATTAGAAAAATGATTTGAAATGAAATGACATACTTATATTATATGATTTGAGAGCAAAAAAAAGTTAAATATAGTACGTATCGATTCGATTGAAAATTTAAAATGTTAGTGATTAAAATGGAGTTATGTTATAGCCAATGTTTAATAGTTGACATGATAAGCATAAAATAAAAAAAGTTGTACATTTAACACGAATTCATATGTATCAGTAAAAGTGTTATTAATAAAATTACTTGAGAAATCTCACTTCGGTTAGAGAGGGGAACAAAGTATTTCGTATAAGGATATGAAAAATTTTCTCTAGTAGACAGGTTTTTAAAATCGTAAGGCTGACAACGACACGTAGCAGGTCAAAACGGATAATATATGCTAGTAATAAGTTTTGACTGTTACAAATGGTATAAAAGTCAAACACCAAGTAGCGTGCCAACGAGAAGTTAAGTACCTAAGGAGACAAATTATGAAATCTCACGTCGGTTAAAAAGAGAAATAAAACACTCTTTGTAAAGCGAATAATATCAACTACTACATTACTTCAGATCCTAATACTCTGAATGGTGGAGTAACTAACTAGCTGGGCATGCAAAATATTTTCCATTCAAATCTAGCATATTATGATGTTATGAACAATAATTGGAATATGATACTAGGGTACATGAAGGCTTGATTTTATTGGTCCATCGTGGCGACTTGGTAAAGTAGCCGGCCACAAGGGAGGAAATGGGGCCAAGAAAAGATCACAGGCAGGTAACCATATCTTTGCCAACAGCGCTGGGTGACAAATCACTTCACCTTACTCGTCAAAACTAGTCTAATACAAAAAACACACAAGCTTTTCAACGCACCAAACTCAACTTTTTTGTCACATGTTTGCTCTTTGTAGATTTTTCAATGAGTCGTTTAAAAAGTTTGGATAGATTCATTTTTTAAAAAATAAAAAATAAAAAATTTGAATGATACCTCAAATAAAAAATCGAAAGTACATAAATTTATTTTATAATTTAACCCAAACATATTTATAGTAAGAAGGTGGAGAGAGTGGGATCAGGGAGGATTGAAGGCGTTGATTTGGGGAGTAAGAGTGGAGATTCCTTGCTTTGGAAGCTCTTCCACAAGAATCTCTGCAGAAGGAGGTTTAAGCCCCAATGGAAGAGGTGACCATGGTTTCCTCTTTGCCTCATTTACAATCTCGTCAATCAACTCCTCATTCTACAAAAAGGAAAAAAACTATAATTAATTATTATTATTATTATTATTATTATTTGCAAATGCTAAAATAAAGTTTTGAAGCCTTTTTATTTACTGGTTGAAGATCAAATGAAATTTGAGGCGTGCCATAGCCCTTATTTGCTGTATAAACGTTGTGTGATGCTGAAATTTGCTGCAATATGGCAAAAAAAAAAAAAATAATAATAATAAATAAATAAATAACACAGCCATAATTACCAAATAAAAAGGTTAATTTCAGTTTAACTCTTGCAAAAAATAAATAAAAATACACTTTCACCTGAGGATATGAAAAATATGGAGCACGAGAAGGCAGCATCACAGGGCAACCCCATGCATCAGCTTGCATCTGAAACAAATCAGTTTGAACAACTATTATCACAAACGACATTTTTCAAAATTTTTAATTATTTTACCATTTTGTTTGTTCTCAAGGACCAGTAGCTTCAACAAGTTAGTGACATCAAGATTTTGGTTTTTTTTTTTTTAAAAAAAAAAATTACATGAGTTTTGAGAATCAAGAAAAGTAGAATTTTCGAAAAAATCACTCTGTTTCTTGTTTCTTTGTACCTAACGCGTATCGTGAACAATGAATTTTTCAAAGAAACATGTTACTATTTTTCTAATGCAGTGACGTACAAGGTTTTTAATTTGGATGGTTGTGGATGGAATCTCGCCATTTCACTGAAATCTAAGAATGGAAAACGTTACCCCAGCATAAGAGTTCCATGGCTGAGTTCCTGGTTGCGGCCAATGGCGATAATCAGGCGGACCCCGCATGTTGACATTAGCTGGATGGCCATTGGTCTGCGTCCATGTTCGATAGACGGTAGACATGGATATTCCACAGTAAGGATAAGAAGGGTAAGCCATGATTGGTGGGGAGTGATTGGTTTGCATTGAATATCTTGTTAGATTTTCTTCTCTCTGCATCACATGTTTCCTTTGCATCCTGTACTTCTGCGTAAACGACATAAAGAGCATTAGAAGAACATGTTAGACATTAAACTTGTTTAATGTACTTA